TTGTACTTGTTTTGTCTGTTCTTTGGCTCATCAGTCAATTATTGGACTGATTGATCTCAATCATAACATCTACAGCACGAGTGACTGTGGAACAACTGTATGTCAGTAGCCTGCAAGTGCATCAAGCTCAGGACATTTGTTACAGATGTTGAAAATGTGTGAATCTAATCAGGCTAAAATTCCATCATCAATATTGACTCCATTCCTTCTGAGACACTTTGCACAAGAGTGTACTGAGGTGCATTTTTCTAAGATGTTTTTTATAACACACCTAGAACATCCATCCATTCATCGACTTGGCCTGGGGGATCCGAATCTGTGTCTTCATTTCTCTTGTCAGACCCATCTGTGCTTTTCCCCTTCCCTCCTCCAGCATCTTCCAGAGGAGGGGGGTCGTCGTCGATGTCTTCTTCGTCCAACACTTCAAAGTCCTCCCCGCTGTCTAGCAACGAGGTTCGTCCGTTCTTCGCTGCTGGTGAACTGTCATGGTTCTCAGAGACGTCCATCGTCTCCTCTTTGTCACCCATGAGCAGAACTCTGAGAGAGAAGGTGAGCAACTTTTATTATAGAGCAAAACCGGAAGACAACAATAATCACGAGCGTAGTTAACAGTAGTTTGACTTCTCACCCCTGCTATGTTACATCATATCACTGAGCTTATCAACATGCTAACGCAGAATCTAAGTCATCCGAAAACCACACAGAGCTGAGTCAACTGAAATCATTTAACACAGTTTATGATTAAAACCACAACTCGCCTGGTCAGTGTTTCTGCTGCGACAGGAGAGACGGGAGCCAAGCTAACCTCGCGCTTCCAGAAGTTTCTGTCAAGTTAAAGTGCTGCTACCTCCTCAGGCGGCTAACAGGCTGCTAACGTTAGCATTAGCTGTGTGTCCGGCTAGCTAGTGTTAGAGACCGTAAAGTGCTTCTTCTCCTTTTTATTTTAGCAATAAACGACTGAGCAAAGCGACGTCAGACAGACTGAGTCAGCCCCACGCGACGCAGTCCTCAATGATGACCGTAAAGTGAAGGTTACCTTCGGACACGAGTTGTTTATGCGGAGGCTTGTTTTGGTCCCGTGCAGTCTCCCCTCCAGCAAACAGCGGTGAAGTCAGTCTGATGTTGGCGCTAACACGCGACCGTATGGGACTGTGTGTTTTAATCATACCGACGTCAAACTGACTTCGTTGGCGCGGTGTCGACCTCACCACAATAAACTACTTCCGGTTAACCTTGAGCTCCTGTTCCTCTGTGTGACCTTTTCACCTGATGTGTCGTAAACAAGCACACATTCACTTCACAGTCAGCAAACATTAGTTCAAATATTAACTCTATCCAAACAGGGTTGGTGGCGAATCCTAGTTTATTTGGGAAAT